GGAAGTCTCAGCACAGTCCGTTCTTTGTCTGCCAAAATCTGATTAATCACGTAATATTTGTGCCTTGACTTATTTAATTTGATTAAATCTTACAGTTGAGCTTTCAACACGTCACAAAATGGGATGTTTATTTCGAATAACCAGGCTTTCATTTCGTCCTCTTTTGATTAAGACGTCGGTGGTTCGTCTGTGATACGAGGCGTTATCAATGACCAGAAAGGAGATTGCAACGAACAGGTGGCATGGTGTTAACACAGCACAGTCACAAGACGACAATTATCAGGCTTATACACCGCTGCACTGACACAGACTGTACTGACCGACGGAAACTCCTTCCTTCCTTCATTGAGTGGTCCGCATACTGGGCACTCCCTACAAGGTCAGCGGCCATAATCGGTGGATCCAGTTCTACTGTGTTATTCTTATTCACAAATTCCTACTTAGCGTAAGTAACTGAATGGAGCAGACACTTTCTTAAGTAGTACGCTCAGCTAGTCAAGAAATTCCCTGCCCATTATGGAACCACAAGATTTATTACCGTGTTTACGAGAGCTCGCCACTTTTCTCTGCTCTGATCCAGCTGAATCCAATCCAAACTTTCAAGCCCTCTTACGAGTGGTCTCTTAAATCCTACAGTAATTTATTTCATGCTTTAATTTCAAGATTTGGGCTACAAGAATCAAATTCTCACAACGGATAAATCAAATCCGTCCTCGAGTTTTGTCTCCCAAAATAATGATCGAATTTAAATAAAATCTGATGATGCAGACGTGTTTTAGGCGAATTCTGTTTTTTAGATTCTGAATACAACCCGTACATTTTCGTGGTATAGAATGTTACATGCTTTCTTAGAAATATTTCTCATCACAGAAAGGTTGACACACAGGATAAAGCACAGGTCTCATTTCAAAAATTCCTGTTGTATTTCGTTTTTACACGGACCCGTGTAAAGCGGAAACGACGCTAGGCTAAGGAAATCAATAGAAGAGGAATTGAATGTGCAGTAAATGAGCATCGAGGCCAAGTGTTTACGCAAAACAGGAATAACGCCTTTCAAGAACATCCGCAGATGACGCACTGTAACAGTGCGGTTGAGAGACTCACATCTCGCGAAGCGTTGTTGGCTGCGTTGCAGATGAGGTACAGTGTGTACTCCATGACACAACATTCTATCGCCATTAGTACCTGATCTGCCCGCAGTTGGCGCGCCAGATTACTCATAGTATGATAGACGAAGAATGTGAGGCTCAGGAACATGTAGAGAATGTAGAAACCGTATGTGTACGTCATAGCGAACCCAGTTTGTCGAACCAGACGACTCAGTTCTACCCACAGCACCCTGTGAGTGTCGATAACCTGCAGGGAGTGCCTCGAGGATTCCGCGAGTTCCTGCAGAAAAACAATGATAATCGGGCAACTTGAATGATTCGGAAGTTTCACAGCGCACAGATCACCGACACGTCAGAAGTTTGCTTCACCTCACCTTCCGGAAGTTTCTCCAGAGATTCCTTGCTGCAGACGACAGCGCCCCGCACGTCAGGTGCCAGAAGGTTACGACGTAGAAACGCACAACATCGAGGTACCATTCCTTGACAGCCACCCACCAGTCCACCCACACCTCGTCTCCGTTTGTCAGCTGGTAGATCACTTCGAAGCTGAATATGAGGACGGGCAGGACACACATGAGGATACACACTTTGCGCCTCAGTCCCAGGTTCAGGGGGCGACCCGTCATCTTGCAGTACTTCTCCTGAAACAACAGAGGCGTAATTATGATGGTGATAATAATAATAATAATAATAACTACAAAGCAGTTCAATCGAATTCAATTATACGTTTATTTACGTACTTAGTAACAATCAAATAAGGCTAATTTCAGCCAAGCACTGAAATTAACAAAAACACGATCAAATGTAGAAAATGCATCCAATGGAATATGACAGAAAGTAAACAAAGTTTAAGTGAAAGCAGCTTTACAGAATGTCCGTCAGCGAAAATTTACCTTTGCACGGGAAGCCACAGTTACATGCCCAGTCTTCCGGTTGATAAAATGGAGCGTTCCGGCGCGGCCCATCGGATTAAAAGGAATGTAAGATAAGCAAAGGTCAGATTAATAGGGACTCTGATGTACTAAGTTGAATGTGTGGGTTCGGAGGTCGTATTTGCCCTTACGACGTACTGATTTTGTCTTCGCAAAATGTCAGCCTGACCACGACTACTAATGACGGTGACATGAGTCTTAATTTTTGTCCGTGGGTACACTCGTTCAGTTTGAACCCTGTTCTACATCAAGTTCGTGGTGCATATTTGCAGTTTTATCATTAATTTCTCACGACGTATTTTTACAGAATCCTCTAGTATCTGCCTGTTGATTAGCTCGTAAAACATTTCACCGTATTTTATGGTACCTGAATGTCTACTTATCGTTTTCAAAATTAACCCACCATTTTATCCTATCCTGAAGCATGTTCGTTTGTTAAGCCCTTACTTACAGACGGATTGTCACAAAACTTCGACGTCCTGGGAACGAAATGTGTTTGTAGGGACCAAGGTCCATCGGAATACTGTTCCCTCATCAAAAGTAACTTTGCTGTGGAATTACAAAAAAAAAAAAAAATGCTGGAAGTGAAGGACATCTGAACTGAACTGAACTTACCTGAAAGCGAGTCCAGTTGGACAAGTAGTGAGCGATACTGTTGGCTTCTGGCCAGTTAACGAATGGAATTGCCAAAATGATGAGGAAGTAGGATACAGCCATGAACACGAAGAACATGGCGTTGAAATGGCGGTGCGTGGCCATCAGTTCTTGGAGCTTTACTCCGGTCGTGAACCACAGGATGACGAGCATCGTGAAGTAGAGACACACGGAGTAGATCATCAGGGGCGAGAACGGGCTGTACACCCACATTCCTGCGCAGCAGAAAGAAAATTAATAACAGAGTGGCGTAGAGCAGTGCCCCCCGATCGGTCTTCCGCTAACATTTTTTGGAAATGTTGTATTCGCCACTTATACTTAGAATTCGTGATATGCAAACAGAAACTGACTATTTCTTCATCGACGTTTTGTTCAACATGTTTTATGTTTTGTTTTAATATGCCTGTATTTAAATAGGGTAATTATTTATGTACACATACGTGTAAAGTTGTACACCCTTTACGAGAGGCGACATTCTGTGGTGTTTCGTCGTGCGCCAGTAAAGTATCTCACCTGATAGACTGAGTTAACTCTCCGTCCTGATTCTGACAGGGCACATCGCATTCCTGACGCACACCTTCATTACCCACCGGAACTCCGATCTGACCCCTCGGTCACGTAAAAAAAATAATTGATAGGCAGTGTCGGACACTGCCGCAGTTATTTTCGTGAAAACGTCAATCGTGTATAGTATATTGAAATTAAACAAAATTTTTGTTTTGAATCGCTTAATTCATTTGCAACTTACATTTATTGAATACAGGGTAGTGATATGAGAAGTAGGATACAAATGGCTTTGAAATTATTTGAATACCTCTTGAAAATGTCAAATCTATACAAGTTTTCCCTTGCGAGGTTGGTTTGTCCAAATCATTCACTAGTTCAAGTTTAAAGAATTTCTGAATGTACGTATGCACGTAGGAAATTTTCAAACGTTTTCAAATTCACAGCCTCGTATCTTTTTGAGTTTTTGAGATACACTCTTGGAGCCCATGATGAGTTGTAACATATACACTCCTCTTCAAAAGAACACTTGGTTCACTCTGATCGGATAATTAGTCTCTGAGATATGATTCCGTTTATGGACATGTGTCGAATCCGGAAAGTTGAAAATCGTGGGTTCACTTTGCGCGTACACAGTTCGCGACATCCGGCCGCCACGAATGTCGGAGCGGTACTGGCACAAACTTTCATCCTTCCTCTTTAAAACGAGACTAAGATGGCGGAGCTGTGTCTATTTTTAGTCGAGTTATTGAAGTTTTAAATTACTTCGACAGAAACTGTCGCTCATTTGGGCGCGACTGCCTCCCCACACCCGGCATCGATTTTAAAGACGTTTTCACGTCATAGGGAAGGGAGCCCATATCGTACAGGGCACGCATCGAGGCGTACTTAATGCAGAATCTGGAGTGGGGATACTCAAATGCGCGTGATAGCGACCAGTGGTCCAAGACCCCTGGATGAACCACACTGCCTGATTATTTGAGCTATTTCCCGAATGTGCTGAGAGATATCAGCCGATGTGTGTGTCGCGTATTGGTTAACTGATGACTGGCAAAGAGAATGGAATTATTCCATCACAGGCTCCTCGTGCGTTCCTCTGGAATTGCACATGCCAATTAGACGGAGTGCAGTCTTACCTCTGGCCGTCTTAGTGATGGGGATGATGCCGGCCAGCTGTAGGACTTTGATGATCGGGTTCAGGTCCCGGTTGAAGGAGTTTGGTGACTCCTTGACTCCGGTGAGTTTACTCCGTGGTATTTCGTTGCTGGGGATGGTCTTGACGAACTGTCCGCGGGGACCGAACAGAGATATCGGAGCGATTTCTCTCACGAAGCCGTTGGTTGTGTTTGATGCTGGGAACACCGACATCTGGATCTGCAGACCGTGGACAGAAAGTCAAATTTCGTTTGATGAACGTCCATGCAACTCATTTTTTCACAATAACGAATATAAAAAAATGTATTTATTCTTCGTTTTGTGCTTATGAGTAATGAATACAGAAAGCCGAAATGGCAGTGTGCTGTCAATTTCTGACAGTTAACAGGCCATGTGCTGTCGATATAGAATCACACCGCGTGTTATTCTCTTCTCATTTTACTGATCATCTTCCCCTTTATGTGGCAAATTCGTTTCAATTTCAAATTGAATACTCATTTCAGTCTATTAAGTAGCCGAACTTTTACTCAGGATTAGTGTATTTGGACATGAGGCGAACAATACACTTTTTAGGGACGAGCTTCGTAATTATTAGGGTACTAATTCTATTAATACCAATGAAATCAAGGCGAATGAGATAGTCACGACACGTAGCACGCAGGAGATAAGGGCTAGTGCGCACGAGCGGTTTTTCTGACAATAAACGCATTGTCGGCGTTTTCTTTTGAGTTGGGAGCTGGGTTTAGTAGAAACACTTAGCGTGTGCTCTGGTTGATACGTCGAAGTATGGATTTTGTTGAGACTGTCACTGTGTGCGCTTTTTGCTAAGAGCAAGAGCAAAGCGTGGAAATAAATGTTGGTTCCCTCCACTTTTAAGTCAATGGTTGTTGAAAGCCCAATTTCACAAGTTATATGAAGACCTGCGTATGTATCTAAAGAAATTATTCAGATACCTTTCTTTTTGTCAAGTTGGCTAGATTTCGACAGTAGAGCTTCACAGACTTCTGTCCACAGATTCTCTTTAGGTTTTGTCACTGTACTCCGATATGGCTGAAATGTATAGTGCCGGCCTTTTTTCCTATTCAATTACATCATGGTCAGGCAAATATAGTAGCCGTGCGACTGTTTCGGCGCTCGTGCGCGCACACAGGTAGGGTTCTTCGTGTTCTATTGCCACCGCCAGCCGCTGTGCGGCCACCGCTCCGCATCGAAAATGAAGCATTTTTTGCTGCAGAAAAAATCCACAGTGGTAACACTACCGAAAGTGCGCTCGCTTCCTACTGAAAGATTTCGTTCCATGAATGCGTCAGAAAAACCGCTGCTGCCCAAACCTCTCGTCAGCGCGGGGTCTAAGAATTTCGTACAAAATATGTAGACTTAAAAAGCGATGAGAAGACGACTCTTGGGAGACAAAGTGTTAGATGGGAGCTGAAGTTTGAATTGTATCTTAAACAATGAACTGAACTCAGATGGTTTAGATTTGTGTTGGTCAATGGGTCCTTAACGGTGGTGGTAATCATGAGTACTGTTTAATTATTTTACGTTAACAATTTTTATCTCTGGCGAATGCACCTCGTGATTCTTAGATTTAAATTGAACTGGCTTTGACTTCCGTTCAATGATTTTTCGGTAAACGAAAGACTCTCTCAGACAAAGCATGACGTTAGCGCGGAGAGGAACATAACCTAACTTAAGTACGTCAAGTGTATCAGTAGTTTATGTGAAACGAATAAAAAACTATTTACAGACAAGAAAAATGTGATACATATTTTTTATTTATGCCATCATTGCAGCCTTTGTGTCATTTCTTGGTATTTTTCACGTGAGACACTAAATGTAACTTACGAGGATGTCCACATCAAACCATCTGCGTTTCATTATTGTAAGTTTCACTTGACATTCCGCAAACGAAGTTTTCAAATCTTATTCTTTATAAAGTATCTGTATCACAAACGATACTTCATCATTCTTAATTACCTTTAATCCTCTCCTAGAGATTTTGTGCTCTGTCTAGCCTCTTCGTGTTCAGCGGCTTCGCAGTGTATGCGAGCCTGCATCGAATCTCCACCGCGCCACAGTTTTAATCTCGAACGCGTGTCGTCACGCGCCCCAACGATTATAAGAAAGAGGTGACATACCTTCTTCAGTTAAGATATGAACCCTAGATCTTCCGATGGAGTAGTTGGAATGGTTACTGTAGAACAGCTTGTCCTCTGCTACGCTCCCAGTGTAAGTAAATTCTTGTGAGCCAAGAAGCGGGTTTCCTTGACCTGAAATTATAGAATTTTCATGAAGTAGCCCCTTAGAATCATAAGGATAATGCTGTCTAAAAGAATTCATAAGTAGGATGAACTCGTAATTCTGTGTGTGTGTCTTTAACACTTTACTGTGAATTTCACCCACCATAAACGCGATGCTTATGTGTTGGTACATAATAAATCATGACGAAACTCTATTGAGCAAATATGCACTGTCTTCTGACCTGTAAATGTGGATCGTATTTCAAAGACGAATGCACTGAGTAACTATGAAGTCTCACTTTAATCATGCAGGATGTAAACAGCGCGAAGTGAAGGCGTATCGAAGGGGTCCCGCAACTCGGGCCATGGATGGGGCGCGGTGGGTGAGAACGTATCTTGTGGGACAGAGGATCGGTAGTGCGCAAACCTTACCTAATGTAAACTTAACCTGATATTAACATGACCTGACATAATTTAGCCTGAACTCATCAAACATAAACTTCGCTGGTTTTAAGATGTCACCTTTGATGACTTAGATTCTGGTGATTATACCGCTTACAACGCCACTTTCGGTTTTTATAACGGCAATGTACAAGTTCTGCTTGTGAAGTAATTTATGCTTTACTTACGTCACTTTTGTTGGTGGCACAAATCGTGAAGTCTAGGGAAGTGGTAGTTATGGAGGGGTTAATATCATGAGTGTTATTTATGCTTTGTCGTAACTGAAGAACGCCCAATGGTTGTGCTTTATCACTCCGTGTATCACGTCTTTCCCCAGAGATCGTGTTGCCGTCTATTAATTCTATATCGCATTAAATGTTGTATTGCCACCTATTAATTGTCCTTCGAATTACTTGTTGTGTTACCACCTATTAATTGTCCTTCGAATTACGTGTTGTGTTTCCATCTATTAATTGTCCTTCGAATTACATGTTGTATTGCCACCTAATAATTGTCCTTCGAATTACGTGTTGTGTTGCCATCTATTAATTGCCCTTCGAATTACATGTTGTAAAATATATATCACATTTTTATGAAATTTGGTGCTGAGGCTAGTTAAAATACGCAATTCTTAATATCCTAATCTGTAAACCCAACGTGATGCATGCTCAAGGTCGTGAGGTGAGAGAATGATCCTCCGGCATTGCGCGGTAACCAATGGTGCTCTAAAATATCCGATAGTTTCACGGCCCAGGATGACATCTATCGGTTATCGCACAAAATAGTCTTGGTGCAGTAGGTCGGTGGCTCGTTTAGACTATTTATTATGTTGCTATGGAAGATTTTATGTTGAAGGCACTGAATTATTGAGATACTTCCACAATTAATTACTGTTTTTCCAAGGGAACGTGTGCACTTGTCTGTAAATACAGTGTGTCCTGCAACAGTTGTGGGACAGAGGATCGGTAGTGCGCAAACCTTACCTAATGTAAACTTAACCTGATATTAACATGACCTGACATAATTTAGCCTGAACTCATCAAACATAAACTTCGCTGGTTTTAAGATGTCACCTTTGATGACTTAGATTCTGGTGATTATACCGCTTACAACGCCACTTTCGGTTTTTATAACGGCAATGTACAAGTTCTGCTTGTGAAGTAATTTATGCTTTACTTACGTCACTTTTGTTGGTGGCACAAATCGTGAAGTCTAGGGAAGTGGTAGTTATGGAGGGGTTAATATCATGAGTGTTATTTATGCTTTGTCGTAACTGAAGAACGCCCAATGGTTGTGCTTTATCACTCCGTGTATCACGTCTTTCCCCAGAGATCGTGTTGCCGTCTATTAATTCTATATCGCATTAAATGTTGTATTGCCACCTATTAATTGTCCTTCGAATTACTTGTTGTGTTACCACCTATTAATTGTCCTTCGAATTACTTGTTGTGTTACCACCTATTAATTGTCCTTCGAATTACTTGTTGTGTTACCACCTATTAATTGTCCTTCGAATTACGTGTTGTGTTTCCATCTATTAATTGTCCTTCGAATTACATGTTGTATTGCCACCTAATAATTGTCCTTCGAATTACGTGTTGTGTTTCCATCTATTAATTGTCCTTCGAATTACATGTTGTATTGCCACCTAATAATTGTCCTTCGAATTACGTGTTGTGTTGCCATCTATTAATTGCCCTTCGAATTACATGTTGTAAAATATATATCACATTTTTATGAAATTTGGTGCTGAGGCTAGTTAAAATACGCAATTCTTAATATCCTAATCTGTAAACCCAACGTGATGCATGCTCAAGGTCGTGAGGTGAGAGAATGATCCTCCGGCATTGCGCGGTAACCAATGGTGCTCTAAAATATCCGATAGTTTCACGGCCCAGGATGACATCTATCGGTTATCGCACAAAATAGTCTTGGTGCAGTAGGTCGGTGGCTCGTTTAGACTATTTATTATGTTGCTATGGAAGATTTTATGTTGAAGGCACTGAATTATTGAGATACTTCCACAATTAATTACTGTTTTTCCAAGGGAACGTGTGCACTTGTCTGTAAATACAGTGTGTCCTGCAACAGTATATCCATAGCTTAACTACGTGCTCTTGGGATCATTTCGAGTCCAAAAGGTCGAATAAATGTGCCTCTGATCTGCAGCGGTTTGTCACGAAAATGCTCCTCGCTGTGCATCGGCTCTGTTTTGTAAGCCATGCACTAACTGTTGTGCTACATTCTGTATATTACCACTGAAAATTAAGACGATAAATATAGGAGTATTACATGTTGTATTGCCACCTATGTAAAAAAGTATTTACCGCTTTTGTTGAAAGTGGTCACATCTTGTGTATTTAACTGATGTAATCCTGGTATTATTGTTTTTATTCATCAGAGTTAAAGTATTAATAGCTTCGACATTCCATGATTTGATATTGTTGTATTATCTTTAGTTAACGCTTTGAATAAACCAAGCCTTACTAGGGGCAGAGCCGATATCGATACTTTGAAGTGAACGACAATTGAACACACTCGGAAGCCAGAAGTGCAAACTGCAACCAAATAACAATGATATTCTTCTGGAAATATGTAGAACATCTGTTCAAGAATCCAGAAAGAGCAGGCTTTAAGGAACACTAAACATATGAAAATAAAGCTTAATAAAATCAGAGTTCCTTTTAATTCTGTTTATTATATCCACTGTTTCATTTCATGTAATGACAATTGAATGTATGTATATAGTCTGTCAAAGAACCATGATGCTGACGGAATTAGTCGAGTTTGCTAAACGGAACAGCAGGTAAATCAGTACGCTGTTTGATCGACAGGATTAATTTACAATGACGTGACAAACGCCTTTAAATACTTACCTTAAACAAAAGAATTGTTCTGTGTAGTTCTCAGTCGGATTTTTCACAAGATTATCTCAACACAAATTGTTCTTTTTGAAGTAATAACCAGTTTATTCGAAGAATGTTCAAACTATTTCTCTAATGTCACATTAAACCTCGTACTAATTCAGAAAATTTCTGAGCTCCATTACCTTGAAACTTGAATTGATAAGGAAAATGAATAACTAAGTAGCTCTGAAAATAATTTTGCTAACTTAACCCGACGCTTTCTTGTGGTCCTTTTTGTCAAAATAACTGAATTTAGGGTACTTTTCCATTGATATAAATTTTGTGGGACTTGTTTTATTCCTCCAAAGGCCCTGAACTGCCCGATCGCTATGCCAATTGAACTCATTTGCGTATCGTCCAAGATTACCACCAATGACATCAAAGACACATTTGTGTGGTTTCTTCTTGATGTATCCCGGGTTGCATTGGCAGACGTTAGGCGTGACGCACTCAGCGTTAATGCAACTCGGGAAGCAGCGGGGCACGCACATGTGGGCGGTCGAGTGCACATACCCTCTGTGGCAGGTACACGTGTTCGGGGCCGTGCACTTCGCATTCACGCACAGACTGTCGCAGACTGGTTCGCACTTGCCTTGTTCTGCTCCGTACCCGTTGTGGCAGACGCATGTGTAGGGCTTTACACACCTGCCATTTTGGCAACTTGTGCAGTATGGCAGGCATTTGAACTGCGATTTGTAATATCCTGAAGCAGGAATAAATTCCTTTTGAAGCATACCGCAGGGATACAAGAAAAATGTCACTACATAAACCAAAAGCTGCATATTATTATTATTATTAATTATTAAAATTATCATAATCGTCTTCATAATCATTATCATTGTTGACACTATATTATTGCTATTTTTATTAAATTATTTTGTATTCTGGAACATTTGTTGGAGAGATGGTGAAGTTAATAACATTGCCAACTGCGCAAATCTGCCACCAGATCCGAATTTCATGATTAGTGAATATTCTGAAATTGAAATGTTTCAATCTTTGACCAAGGTTTTGTGTCTGGCAGTGTCTGCTTCCAAAATGGTCCGCTGATAACTTAGGTGCATCCGAATTGATTTAAATTGTTGTGACACATTACGGCGGGAAATGAAATCAGATCTGATTTTGGAAAGTTATATTGGCGTAGAAAGAACTTTGACGTGTTTTTGACGGCAGTGCAAAGGGCGTAAGCCGCTACTTGGCCAAGGAGCGTCACCTGAGTCGCAGGAGCAGATGTCCGGGGCGGTGCAAGTCCCGTTTTCGCAGGGATCGTCGCAGTGGGGCACGCAAACATGGCTGCGCTGCGGGTGCTTTTTGTAGCCGTGATAGCAACTGCAGTTGTTGGGGGAAACGCAGTCCCCACGCTCGCAAGCCTTCTCGCACACCGGGTTGCATACTTTGCCGCTGCTGTCTAGCGCGTATCCAGGGTTGCATGTGCATCTATTTCCTAAAAATGAAGAGAACGAAAGCAGACTCTTAATACATTTCCCGTTTTACCAGTCGAGAATTAAAATTGTATCAGAGTTGAGTCAACAGCGGCTGATGAATCATTTCTGGTGATCACGGTGGAATCGTGTTTACATAATCTTCATCCAAAAATCTTTTGGAGTTGAACAAACTCCAAGATTCGTAGGTCCTTCTGCTGTTTCTGCTTACAAAATCATATTTATTTGTCAATATTTGGTTTACTAGTCTGCACGATGTGTGAGAGGCGAGCTCAAAGACTCCCCCCATAATTTTTCGTGGCCCAACGTGGTTATACTAAAAACATTAAACTGGTAGTGGATATTATATTATTGTTACATTTATCACTACTCTACTCTGTAAACCCGACTCCTTAAAAAAAAGGAGATTGACAATAGACAAACGAGTTAACACCGCGGCGAAAAACATGTGTTAGTCCCAACGATTAAAACTAATGAAGTAGGAACTTCCGGATACCTGAGCACTCCCCGTACGGACACCCGCAGGGACACGTGACCACGCAGTTGCCCAGGTCGTTGAGGGTGAATCCGTCGAAGCACTGGCACTTGCCGGGGCTCGTGCACAGTCCATTGACACATTCTCCTTTGCATTTCGGAACACAGATGTCTTCCTCGTTCCTCACGTAGCCAGGACAACACACAGGGAAAGTGCGGTACTCGTTCTTGTATATCGTCTGTCGAAAAAAGGCAGAAACAGAGGAATTCTACTGAATCAAAATTTTAGAATAACATTTATAACGGCCTTCAGATACCATGCAATATGACAGTGTTTCGCAGACCAAGGTCCCCGAACTGCATGCAGGAAAGAGAGAAGTCATCCTACGTTAAGCTGCGAATAAGCTGTCCACTAGCCCACATATTGTCATATAACCATACGAGAAAAATGTTGAAGTGTGAAGTCCGGCGATGTCGGTGGCCACGTGACTGGGTTCGTTGATTTCTGACGTTAGAGGGAGGTTTAATCGGAGTTTTGTGAGAAAGTGAGTCGAATCTTTTATCATGACACACGAGATTTGGTGCACGTAATTATAATAGTAAACGCAGTCGATGACGAGTCAATTTTGAAAAGAAAAAATGCATTGATTACTTGATGAAGGCACTACAGCTGCAAAACGATGATCCGATGTGTTAATTTCAACAGATACCCAGGGAACAATGCTCTTCCTCAGCTTAATTTCATTCAGAAACGTGCGTGGATCCGAGTGAATATTTTAATCAGTCAGAGGAACTTGTAGTCCGTGGATCCACATAAATGGACCTGAGTCTCAAAAATTAAAATACGCTGCCGTTCATCTGTTGACGAGACAAGAGACGCTATCTTGTTAAAAATTTATGAAGCATAGGACGTTTTGCTTGGGTTTCCAAAATGATACCTGCGCAATGAAAAAGTAATTTTCTCCGACGAGTGTACAGAAGTGAGAAACATTTATTTATTTTGCAAACAGAGCCCGGAAGGGATAACTGCAGCATTTGAAATAGTATATGCATAGGTGCTGAGTCATATACGAACTTAAATCGCGTATCGACCAACATCTGTTATGACGCGTAAGGAAATTTACCACAGAAAAGTTCTGAGTTACCGTAAACTTCAGTGATACTTTACCTGGATCTATGTAAAATTTGTACATACCACATTAACTCTCTGGCCATTCGGTCCATTGCCCATGACCCAACCGGACGGTGCTTCGACCCTGTGAAGCAAAGAAGAACTGCAGTTAAATAGGTTTCAGAAGTTCAGTCAACCGATTTGAAGCAAATGTTCACACGAGAAGGCAGTACGTGTAAAGTATAAGGTCAACCGGTGTCTGTTAGTCTATGGATTTTTCATGAAGAATGTTCTTGGTGGATCTGTAAGCTAACCTAACCTGGATCGGGCGTTAAAGAAATACGGTATGAATAAATAAAGGGGATTTTACGTGCCAGGTTCTGGTCCCAGAGCTTCTTTATTGTGAAGGCGGTGGCAGAACTTCGGGATCCACCAACTTCGCGTCTAACAGTTCCTGAAGAACGACACTGCCCCGCGGCGTACACGCTGACATGTCCAAAATTAACAGACACATTTACGTACCTTTTATGTGTACACAAGCCTTGACGTATTGGAGGACAAAAGACACTATCAAACTTTGATAAGTGAATGGTGCAACAAGGAAGACGTTAATACACCACGTGATCATCAAGAACATTAACAGATATGAAGACGGCAGTCGGACAGGAGAAACGTTTGAAATTTTGTCTGAATTTAAGTACGTACGGTGCCTTAGTCCAGCCACAGACGTATCTTAATAGTTCAAAGCCTCCCATACTCGAGTTGCCAAGAAAGATGTCCGATTGGCTCTGCACCTGGAACATCATCACCAAAAACGAGGTGTCAGCTTATAAACTAGAGCAGCGTGGTACAACTGGTGGCCCGCGACCGCTTGTAATCCGGCTCGCGAAAGTATCTGTTATTTTGTTACTAGTTAGTATAACTGATTTGTTAAAAATAATTGTTGCAGGAGCAAATTTAAAATAATATAAAACTCTTTAGTAGTTTGTGCACATTTAAATAAAATTTATGTTTCGGCATATAATGGTAATTTGTCATTTCTGAATTAGTTTTCATAAACATAATTACAATGCAAAAATAGTGACAGAGGGATTTCTTGGCCCTTAGGTCCAACAGGAAAACTATTCTGACCCGAGCGAGAAAAAAATTTGGACTACCCTGGGCTAAAGTCAAACTCTGTCTCTGAGGCCACTGCAGACAATTCTATCGACTGATTCATGTAGACCAGTAAATGGTTTTTTTTATCTCAGATGGAGAAAATCGAGCTGTGAAATTTAATTGTAGTTTTTGGTAGTTTGTACTAAATTTAGTTTACTTTCGTCTACATTATTTGGTATTGGTTTTACCTTTACCGGGTTTTGAGTTTTAGAAGGAGACATTAGCTGACGAGCTAACCCTTAGACGTATCTCCTGCGTTGGGAAAGCGGTTGTCATGTCAAAGGCGACGGGTATTGTGTCTGAGTGACATTTTTACCTGGAGAACAGCAGATCCCGTCGGACAATTGCTTGGCATCCCGCGTTGCTCTGCGTCTCTTCCTGAACGAAGTGCATGTTCGCTTTCCACCACTTTTGCTCCTCCGAATCCCACGGCAAGAGCGAGGATTGACGCGAGAATTCCCAGTGACCGCATTTGAAGTTCAACGAGACAGATCTTCTTCGATTACGGCCCCTGAATGCGTTTTAAATGAACACAAATCGCATATTTTCTGCATGTAGCAGGATGTGTGGTTTATGGAGAAACTGGATAAGGCTTTTATCAAGTGGAACACGCATTGTTTTGGGGTATTCGTGTTAAGGTCATATCTGTTGATGCAAAGGAACATTCACGAATTGGCACCACCGATAATGATTACGCAAAATTCGCTCCGAGTATCCAGAGAGACAGACAAAATGTAGGTTATCTGAGTAAGCAATTTTCTCTCGGCAAAAACAGAAAAACTTTCCTATAGGGAAATGATTTTGTAACTGGTGGTCTTGTGTGACTCACGACAGAACGACTTTGGTTTGATGTTGCAATGTTATGAGACCGCCTTCAGTACTCATATTAAAGGACAAGACATCGGAAATGTTTACTAATCGATCTTCGCAATTTGGTGGTTGGCACTCCCGCTTTGTACCCGAGAGATCGCTGTTTCTGACAGTCCGATGATGGCTTCAGGTAAGAAGCCGGCAGGGAAGTTCGCAAAGCCGTCGACAGTAACTTAAGAAGTAAGTTCGCAGAAATGGGAACAGGAGATCAGCAAAAGGTAGAAGGCCTTCCAAACACTTAACTAGCTCCGGAATGACGTAACACGGTTCCTTGTCAACCCATCGTCACCCTCGATGTACATTTTTTGTTGGCTAAGGCTTTTATCCATGCTTCAACATCCGTCTGTTCTGCGGAAAGTCATTTTTTTAAAAAACATTTCTTAGCCAGGAACTATTCATGGCGAGGAGCAGTGTCGCTTGTGGTTTTATTCAGACCCTAAAGAACTTTACCCACAAATCTTAACGATTCGTCATTCATGGTCATCTTCACAAATCCAATTCGACAATACAATACACCGTCTTAAAATAACCATTTATAAACTATTAACCGAAGAATGTTTGCATTGAAACAGCACGATCTGTTCCGTGTTATTAATTACGGATGACGTCAGAGGCTCAGATGCGCACTAGCGATTTATAACGTGGAACTGCTGAGAAGATCCGGGAGAAATGAAGTCCCACGACCGGTGATGAAGAGGATTAGTCCTTTACCCAAAGAGCTTAAAGTGAGGGCAAGCTCGCTCGAAGACGGCGTGTGCAGGGACCAGAGGTTATCTCAGCCTGAACTATCAGAATAAATTAAACTTCTATCACGTTTATCATGTTCATTATTTCCTTGAAGACGGAAATAATTAACAAGATTTATTAAGCTTGTCGCTGCGATGCAATCTTATATCGCGCATTTTAATTGAAAACATGCAACTAAAACTCAATTTAAATTACAAATTTTCGCAAGCTGGAGTCAAATTTAAGTTCAATATTGAAATTTGATACAAATGAAAGGATCAAACGCGGTAGCTTGCAGGCAGAGCGGGGCGCCTGCGCAGTGGAGCAGTTTGAAGGACTCAAAGGACCGGCTTCATCTTGTCAAGGAATGCAATGGCACACGTGCGTTGTTTTCCAGGCAGGTCGAGTTTCAATTACGCACAGGCTCACGAAGCAGAAAGTGAACAAGTTTTACTATCTGTAGGTATTGACGTATTTAATAGAGAATTGTGAATTTTGTGCCATAGATCACATACGAATTTTTTTTAATCGGTCTAATACCCGCAGCAGAAACTTAAGTAAGCAGGGTTTTTTTTAAAAAAAAATATGGTACACTGTGCCGGGTGATATTTTTTGTGACAAACGTCTCCATCATGGAAGCCCTTCGCTTTTCAAACTAAGGGCTTTTGGCTTGCTGGAGGGAGATTATCCCGTCAAGGAACATGTCCTGTGTGAAAAGGATTTCGGTAGGACGACTGTCTTAGATTTGAAACCAGAAGTGTTGGGACCGCTTTGGCTGATGACTTCAGCCAGCGACATGGAGAGTGGGAAGTCACTCAGCTGAAGGCATCCACGGCTGGAGAAGACGAGCCTCGCCCGATGTGACCTATACCCTCATATTTGCTTTACAACCGAGGAGAGGCATGCAAAGAATCGGGGATTTTCGCAGAGTAGTTAGATCACGCGTTTCGCCGACGTGGT